CCCCCACTTACCAGCTTCGAGCCCGGGTCCAGCTCCCTGCTGCAGCAGGCGGTGACTGCCCGAATCATCAAAGCTCTCTGAATTTTTTCCAAATTGATTTGGAGAGCTTCAAATCAATTCAGACCTTTTTATTGGTCCCGATTCAATCCAGATTTGGAGATTTGGCCACTGAATTGGACCGAATCCCCTCCAAATCGAATCACCACCCGAAGCTTCACATAGCCCTACCATACAGTCACTTAAGTAAATGGCAACATTTCAGCAAGTGAGGGTTTCTTTTTTCAGTGGGGGTGTTATTTTTAGGGAGAGGAAAAATCTCAACACCAAAAATCTCAATCCAGTTGGCACATTTTCTGCAGTAATTAATTTTTTCAGGAATGTCCATGGTATATGAAATTACAGGGCAAGTTGCTCAGGCAGATACCTGTGGGCAGGAGATCTGAGATACTGGAGAAACCTGATCAGCAGTTAAAATGGTATGGCAGAGCTGGTTCAGCCAACTTTTCCAAGTCAGGTGACCTCAGATCATGAGCTTAATCTGTTAGCAGGACGTTTATTGCTCAAGCTCCAACAACATACAGGATGGAAAATGCAATTCTTTGTGCTTTGTATAAAACAAGAGTTTTTGGTTGAGAATAACTGGAACCTCAGAAAAATCAGGATGCCCCTGTTTTCATCTTGAACCAACATGGGAGAAAATAATAAGTTTTATTTTCCTTCTCTTTTTTTTTTTTTTTTTTTTAGTAAGGTAACCTTCAGAAAACCTGGTGCTCTACATTCACTCCATGAACACCATTCATCTACCTCTCCCTTACCAGGTGTTGGCAGATTACTATTTCCTCTTCATCCTTTAGGGGACTGACTCCCCTTAGCTGCTACATCAGAATAGTTTGGGGCATACATGAGAAGGAGAAATACAGCAACCAATGCACCAGGCCATGGTGAGAGCAATCAAATGACTCTGCAAGAGCCTCAAGGTGAGCCTTATATTATTATCGGTATAAAATGTTTTAATTCACTCTACAGAGTTTGGACTATCAAAATAATGCAGTGGATTACCGACTCATTTTTTAGCAGATTAGTTAATGCTAAGTAACTGGAAAGGAAAAAAAATCTCAGTTGATATATACCCAAAACCAAAAACTTGCTAAAAAATGAAAAGCCTTCTGAACATTCTGCTTACATTACCACAAAGTAACTTGAATAATTGCCTTCCCAGTCTGATGAATAATTTGAAACAATTGAAGTGATTTATTAACTGTTGTGTACTTTTGATAGTATAAGCTGATGCTAGTATAAGCATTACAGTATAAGCTAGTATCAGTTTATACTGTAATGAGATAGACCAATTTACTGCCAATCCTCCCCATCCATACTCATATGTTGAAATAAATGTTATTACAGTACAACTCTGACAAATTTTTGATAGAAATTTCTTCCAATTGTTTTCAGTTATTTGCACTTAAATCATTAAAAAATATGGACAAAGCAAAAAGGAGTTGAAGAAAGGAAGAAGCTGGGATGGGCATCCAGAGCTGACCCGAGAAGGGTGCAGGGCCCGGGGCAAATCAGCCAATGTGAGGCCCCACCCCAGCTCTGATCCCATGAGCCCTGGACCTGAAGAAGCT